AAACATCTAAAAGATAAACTACTGTACCTATGCAAGATATAGGTATATCTTTTTATATATACTTTTCTGAAAGAGACAACGTATAAAACTGCCATGTGATCACAATCATATAGCAAAATATACATTATTTCAGTTAATATCTATTATTAATTTGGAGTTACATTTTTTGTAATCCTAAAAGAAGAAATCACTATTCTTGGGTCTGGAGAGAATTTATATGGGGAAATGTATTTAATTAAGAGCATAGCAGTCAATTTTCTTTTAAAAATTAACAATCCTGGGGTCCAGGTAACACCTTTCACCTCATCATCAAATGATCACTGCCTCAGAGGAGTTTAGAACAATTGGGATTCAGGAGCTTTGCCTAGACAGACAATTTTCATGGTATCCAACATATATTTCTATAAATAATTATTATAGTTCATTAATTTCACTTAATAATACACCTAACATAAAACCAAATGTGTTTAATATTTTACTTTTTTTTTTAAACATCAGACCCAGCAAGATTTAAAGATGTCTTTGGATATAACGAACAATATTGACCTTTAATCTGAGCCTTGTGATCCTGGAAAATAGTGATTATTAAAGAAATTCTCCCCCTTTTTGTGTTCCAAAAATGATTTATTGCAAGGAACCACATTTTCCCCCTATAACTTAGATAAGACTCAAAAAAACCAGCTCCTGGTGGGAAGGGTATATAGCTCAGTGGTAGCGTGCCTACTTAGCTTGCAAGAGGTCATTGGTTCAATCCTCAGTACCTCCATTTAAAAACATTAATTAAATTTAAAAAACAACTCCTTGTCTACCTAGGACAAGGCAAGACACAGGAACCCCCAAATTCCCATTCTTTGCCTCTAAACTGATGACCTGAACTGATAAATGGGAGCAATATACTTTGTCAACCAAAATTTAGTTACATTTTCTATATCCCCCCAGGTCCTAGAACTTTGACCCACCCTCAGCCTGAGCCACTTTACCATCCCTCCTTAAGGGTCCCTTCTGATAGTTGGCTGGCCTGGAGGTAAAACATCTGTTTTACCAATGTCTCATCAAGGCACTTTTCATCCCACCTTTCCTATGTCATACTCAATTGTTTTTAGTCTTGTTTGCTCTTCCCTAAGAAGGAAATTCCTTTTGGCTTCAGCCACATAGAAGCTTAACGATCATATGCAGTAGTCCCTTTCACCTCCTATCAACAGTCCTTTCAAAAAAAGCCTCTCCTTACCAAGTCTGAATCTGTGTTTCATTTAAAACAACTCATGGACTATTTTGTCTGCCCTGTACACTGTGTGTGTTTCTACTAAATTCACGTAGGTATGGAATGAACACTCTAGTTT